GGAAGGCATCATTAAGCCTTATGAAGGAACAATTCTCACGTCTGGCAAAGTCTGCTGCGTCCAGTATCTTCTGGTATTTCGTCTCATTTCGGGCTACAAGGAGAAGGACTGATTCCGGGCTTGAGACGGAAAGGTTGGATATCGCGAGCTTTGTTGTTGGCAGTAACAAGTCTTTGGCCTCACAAAGTATATACGTTCTAGGGTTGAAATCTATTCGGGAAGATGGAAATTCATGCTGATTTCTGACCAGGTCAGAGACTTAGTAAAAAATTGTTTGGAAGGCGGGGACCGTATGTCTCCTTTTCAACCGCTGGTTTACTTCCGGGATCTTGAATAAATCGACTGTCAGTGAGTCGAGAAAAGTTCCATGTGACGATTTATGTGGAGAAAGCGAGAGTTTAACGGAGTAACTTGACGATGTTTCGCCCGTGTTAAGTGCGGAAGCATTATGAGTGGTTTTCGGAAGTGTTGTGATTGCCGCGAAAGTCATTTATCGTGTGATTACGGAAAGTGTTGACAGACAAATCTCAGGTATGTGCGGTTGACCTCGTGTTACCAGAATACTTTGTGTCAAACAAACTCTTCGTGAGTGTTTATTTTAGGTGATTTTCTCTTAGAAAGCCTATTATGTGCTCAAAGATTGTGGATTCTTCATCTGTTTTCGGTCGACACTGAATTGTGGGCCTCACGGTTTGATTGACTAAAAGATTACAATTTCTGGACGTTTCAAATGTTGTTTATTTCATCACAAAATCCTGTTACTTCTGCGAGAGAACTTTACCGTCTATTGCCAGCAATAATGCTGTCATTGTTCAGGGGCACCCAACGAGAATATAGTTCAAAACCACTAAAACATAGCATTGTTAAAGTCTTTAAGTATTTAAAAGGTAGATATAGGCATATTTTTATCCCCTAAAAATTATTCATCTGTTCAGATTTCCTAGCTGAAAGTCAGTCTTGTGATCCGAAAATTACAGCGATCAAAACTTACCTTTTCGAAAATTTCAGCCAGAAAAAAGGCTCCCGAAAATTCTAGGTGACCTTTAATTTATGTTAAAAATCCGTTAAAAATGGGCAATAATACCATTTTTTAGATGTTCGAAAATCCTAGGAGAGGCAGACAAGCAAGAAATTTTTTAACAAATGTTTCAAAAATTCCAGATCTCAAATCGTCTTCCGAACAGATATTTTCTAAAAATTGACGTTGGGTGCCCCTGATTGTTTAGCTTCAGCTAGTGACTATTAACTGCTTCCCATTCTACTTAGAATAATTATTAGTTAAATAGTTAAAATCCACTTGAAATTTCGTTAGCCACGTTTTAACAAATTAAATCCAGACAGATGTATGCTAACTATAGTTTCAGAACTGTTGTCCCTTTTATACGTATTAATTTATTTCTTAGCGATGAACCGCTAATAGTAGAATAGAAAATGTTAATCTATAATTGTTCTTCTGATCTTGGTGCCTTTAACCATTTTCTTGGTCGGTTTGCTTGTTTTCGCCCTTTAAACAGAGTTCGCTCCATGTAAGGGATTCCAAGACAGTCTTGGATTCTAGATTCCACGCCGTGGATTCCAAATTCCAACTACTGGATTGGAAATCCTTTTCAGTGGAACTTGGATTCCGGATTCCAATCGTTAATGGCATTCCGGATTCCAGGACCCAGGATTCCGGATTCCACAAGCAAAAATTTCCAAGATTCCGGAATCCGGATTCCCTTATATGGGGCGACAAAGTGCAAGAAAAGATTCAACCTCGTTCCCAGGGTTCTCTCCAGAGAGAGAACCTGGGAACGAGGTTGGAAAAGATTTACGGACAGGGAGGAGAACCTACAGTAAGTTAAGGAACCGTCTTTTATAAGCCGATACTGTTGCAACCATGCTATGATGCAGTGATTTACGGAGTTAGAACTTGGTATCCAGAACCTCTCCTTGAAACTCTTCAAGTTCGCTCGTTTACAAATGCAATTCTGGTGTTATCGATGTTTAATCAGACAACAGAAAGAAACTCCAACTCCTCTACTTCTTTTTCTTGTCTGGTTACGTAGGCGGACCTTGAAGACAAGGACCTGGTTAGTACCCTTTGAGACGATAATCTCTCCCTCCTTCCCAATACCTCAAGGAACCCACTTTTCATGGAACGATAGGACTTGCCGCAGACGTTGAAGAAGTAAATAAAAGGATTACAGACCGAGTTTGATATGCCCAGTCCATAGGTTATGAGACTCACCGGATCCATAACGTTCGGAAATTCCCTGAGATGCTGCACCAGTATCCCAAAGTAGAGAGCGAAAGGCAACCAGCAGACGACAAAGCAGATGACAACAATTACTAACACGCGAAGAACCCTTCTCCTGGACTTTTCCAGCAACTTGGCATTTGTGATTTTGGGATTGAATATGTCACCTGCAGACGCAGAAAGTCTGCGATTCCTGGTCGATATCACTTTTATAATTCTGCGATATGATATAGTTAAGACTGCTAAAGGTATCACGAACCCAAGTAAGACTGAGGCAACGAGGTAAATCGTCCCAACAAGAGACTGACCGTGTGTTGTACTGCAGTAGTAGATGGTGCTGTTATTATAATCAAGAGGAATGAAATTGCTTGTATAAAAAATTGGAAGGCATTGAACTGTACCGTATACCCAAGCAAAGAAGATCAACCAGGCCGGCCTGAGATACCAAGGTCTATTGATGCACGTTAGTTCCTGCTTTACAAATGTCATGTACCGATCAATACTTATTGCTGTCATCAGGCTGACCGAGATTACTGGATTGACGTACTGCGGAAAAGAAATAGATTACAGAATGTGAATAGAGGCGTATATATCTAGCGTTGTTCACCGACCCTGAGGGGGTAGTTGTTTTAGTATTGACCAAATCAGTTGGATAAAAATGAAAAAAAAAGTAACTTTTTTGTAAATTCAACACATCAATAGCCAAGGATATTGCGAGTTACGGCAGCCAATCAAAACTCGCGAAAATTGCTATTCACTGATTTGGTAAACACTAAACTAAATTAAGCAACCACAAAAGCCCAAAATCATGGCGCTCTTGGATTATTTTGCCTTCGGGAGAACAAGTTTAAGCCCCATGCAAACGGCCAACAACTTCCGACATTGTTGGATGTTACATCACCTTTAATACATGTTGATTCCGTTTCCACACTTTGTTGCGTGTTGTTTTGTGTTGTTGGGAGTTGCTTCGCAAAGTTTGAGACCGGTCAAACTTTAGGGCCAACAACGTTGGGAGTTGTTGCGTCCGTTTGTACGTAGCTTAACATGGAATAAATTCTTTTACCTGCATAAATCGTGCCGACTTGCAGAAACCATCATCTCTTCTGGCCATATTTTTGGGGTAGTAAAAATTTGTGAAGATGGTAAGGGGAATGCACAGCTAACACACCATTAGATCGGAGACGGCCAAGTTAAGGAGAAAAAGCTGAACAGATGTTTTCTGACCTCGCCGGCGCAAGTTTGAAATTACTGCTATGTCGATTCCATTGCCAAGAAGTCCAATGAACAAGACTGTCCCTGTTGAAACATTATGTCGCATTTGCTTTATTTTTTCTTTAAGGAAACGTGTTGTTTCCCAAGGCGTATTTGGGATTGAAGATTTGTGGGTACGATTATCAAGTTTTCGTGTTAATTTTTACAAAGTTTATCGTATCATTTATTAGTTGAACCGATAATTCAAAGCCCTGTGTAAACAGATGCAACATTGCTGGGAGTTGTTGAGTCCACTTGCACGCATTTCAAAGTTTGACCGGTTTAAAACTTTACGCAACAACTCCCAGCAACAGGCAACAACATGCAACAGAGTGTGATTACGGACGCAACATGTAATGGTGTCCGGCCGTTTGCACGGGGTTTAAGTGACAGTCACCCCAAAATTATATTTAAATTTCAGAAAGTTTGTGTTTTTAAAACCATGGTGTTAAAATTTTACAATTTTACAATCACTTTGATTTAGACGGCTTTTTAGGCAAAATGACTACTCGCTACAGGGCAGATCCAAGATGGTATATGGTTCCAGTTTCTTTTTTAATTATTAATAATGTCATAATTACGTCAATTCTGTTGTTTAAGATTATCAATGTGTTAAACCACTTGACGATTTTATCAAACAAGTTTCTATTTCAGCGCAATGCTTTCCGCTTTTTAGCTATTTTGGGGAAAGATATGGGTTCACCCATAAAACAACATGGCGTCAAAATAATGTCACATTTCGTCATTGTGTCAATCACTTTGTGACAATTATTCTGTGAGAAGCTTATGGCCTTATCTACAGGACTTTTTTTTAGAATTTAAGGGGAGGGCCTTAATGGACCCCATGTACTGATGCCAGGACACCTTTAAATGCCTGAGCTCGATTTCGCTGGGTTTCATTTCTAGCCGCTGTTCGGGATATGATCCTGCGCTCCTCAAGCGAAAAAACTCTCTTCGTAGGGAAGAACAAGCCCGGAACCGAGAAAGCAAGGGAAAACAAGCCTAATGAATGCCCCGCCTGAATAGGGTTAATTCTGATTCCAAAATAGAGTTGTTCTGTCTTTTGATAGATATTCTTCTCGACAAGATTTCTTTGGTAAATCGCAATTATTTTGTATTCTTATCTTTTCGCTAAAAAATATCGGCATTCCTGGGCACTATTAATAGAACATTCCGATTATAACAAGGTCATCAGAATTAAGATCAGACGTGACCCAAAAGCTTCTTATGATTGTCTAAAGTAGATTATTAACGTTTAGCATAAATAGTTGAGAGCATGTTCGGAAATTGAAGCTCATTTTTTTGGTAGAAGTTCAGATGCACATTTCTGAGGAAAGTTTCCAAGGTTTCGTTACTTTTAATCGAAGAAAACTACCTCCACTCTTTGCTTCCTATTTTTGAACATCCTACGACAGTTTACTGTGCATTATATCTACCTAATGATTTAACAAATGATGCTAAAGAGGCTCTAATAAGATTGGCAAAACAACAACTTTGCACGTGCATCACACAGTCGATGCACGACTGCGACATGAAACGTCCTAATTTAACGTGCCCGCTTTACGGAGTAGGCAAACACAACACAAAAAGTTTCTTTTTCTTTTTTTTTTTTTTTAAACTCAGATACGGTCCTTTCGGATTAAATCCAGAAATTTTCGCCAAAATTTAACAAATTAAATGAAATTGAATAAGATCGATGAAGTTTGAAACATTGCGAATTTACTTTTTAAGTGAATTTTCGCTTTGTTGTCAGGCCAAAACTTTGCTACCATGGCAACGTGACGTAAGGACTTCCCCTCTCTATTGAAAACATTTTAGAATTTTAACGCTTCTGTCAAAAGGTAGGCGAAACAATATATTAAGTAAAGTCGAAGTAATTTGGTTTAATACCCATCTAAAGTACATATGTCATGCACTTACCTAACAATGTCACAGCTAAAACGAACTCTTTACTTCCAACGTTCCATGGCGTGTCAACGTGTATGTTGACTAGATGGCTTTCTTTCGTATGATTCATTGTCTCATAAAACTTTGCTTCTAAATTTTTTTATAAGCAAAATTAAAGTTAGGACGTGAAAGTATCGGTTTCCGCTTGAAGCTGTGTCTCTCAGCGAAATGACCGTGCGTTGTTTCGCACAAAACGTTTTAAGGAACAACAAATTGAAATCGACTTCTGCTGGTTGGACGCTATTTTTAGACGGAACCGTTCAACAGAACGCGTTTTAGGCTGTCTGACAGAGGTTTAAAAGTGCCCACGGGATCATCATGGTCAATTGTTACCAGTGCAAAGTTTACGTCAATCTATATAGACATCCCTGACTTTCATGCTAATTGCTTTTTTGTTTTCCCCATTTAAACAAAGTGAAAGAAATGCAACTAAGGCAGATTTTAACAGGAAACGCGTTTCGCGAGTTTTCTTGAGTCTGAGTTTTAAACAAGAGCGTGGGATTGCGGTTGGGGTAACCTGCGATGTGGGCGTTTTCTTTGAGCGCGCAAATGTTTTTGCTCCC